GCATTTTTTCATGTATCTGATGGCCATTCATGTATTTTCCTTTGAGAAATGCCTGTTCATCTCCTTTGCCCATTTTTTAATTGGGTAATATGTGCTTTCACTGTTAAGTTGTTTGAGCTCCTTAAATATTCTGGATATTAATCCTTTGTTAGATGCATAGTTTGCAAATATTTTCTCCCACTCTGTAGGCTGTCTCTCGCCCTGTTGTTTATTTTGCTGTGCAGAAGCTTTTTAGTTTAATATAATCCCATTTGTTTATTTTTTCTTTTGTTGCCTATGTTTTTAGGGTCATATTCATAAAGTCTTCGCCCAGTCCTACTTCCTGAAGTGTTTCTCCTATGTTTTCTTTTAAGAGTTTTATAGTTTCAGGACATATATTTAAGTCTTTAATCCACTTTGAGTCGAATTTGGAATATGACAAAAGGTACGGGTCTAGTTTCATTCTTCTACATATGTATGTCCAGTTTTCCCAGCACCATTTATCAATATCATTTATCACTCAGCATCAGGGAAATGAAAATCAAAAGCACCGTGAGATATCATCTCACTCCAGTCAGACTGGCTGCTATCAAAAAGAGAATAACAAATGCTGACAAGGATGTGGAGAAAGGGGAACACTTCTACACTACTGGTAGAACTGTAAATTGATGCTGCCATTATGGAAAATGGTATGGAGTTTCTTCAGTCAACTACAGATAGAACTGCCATATGATCTAGCAATCTCACCACTGGGTATATAACCAAAGGAATGGAAATCATCATGTCGAAGGAACCCCTGTACTCCCATGTTTATTGTAGCTCTATTTACAATAGCCAAAAGTCAGAACCAACCTAAATGTCTATCGCTGGATGACTAGATAAGGAAAATGTGGTATATTTATATAATGGAATACTACTCTGTCATAGAAAAGAATGAAATACTGCCATTCATACCAACATGGATGAACTTAGAGAAAATTATGTTAAGTGAAATAAGTTAGGCACAGAAATAGGAATACCTCATGTCCTCACTTATAAGTGGGAGCTAATATTAATAAATAAGTAAAAATAATAATAAACAAAGAAAGAAAGAAAAAAGATACAACAATCACAATAATATGCTGAACTTTCAAAAGATGAGAACAGAACTGAGGTTACAGGAGGTGGGAAAGCAGGAGGAGGAGGGGGTAAATGGAGGAATTGGTAAAGGGCCATGAAAATTGATTACATTCAAGAATGAAGAATGTACTAATTATCCTGATTTGAACATCACATATAGCACACAGGTATTCATATTCAATGCTATACCCCACAGATATGTATAATCAACTATGTTCCAATAAGAAATAAATTGAAAAAACGTGACTCAAGACCCAAAAGATGAGGAGGAGGAGAGTTCTAGGCAGAGGAAACAGAATTTTTTCAGTTCCAGACATGCTGGTTCCCACCTTTGCAGTCTTCTGGCATTTTTCTCCTGAATTTTTAAAAATAGCTAACAATCCTGATCCTTCCTATCCCCATAATAACAACAACTAATATTTATTGAGCTCATACTACTTGGAAGATATCATTCTACACAATTTGGCTAGCAGGTTAGCTCAGCTGGTTAGAGTGTGGTGTTATAACACCAAGGTCAAGGGTTCAGATTCCCATACCTACCAGGCGCCAAAAAAAAAAAAAAAAACACCAAAAAAACCCCACCTTCATTCTATGCAACTTAAATACATTAATTCTTCTAATCCTCTCAGTAACCAAATAAGATAGGTTCTACTAGTATTTTGTCATTTTACAGATGAGGAATCTGAGGCACAACAAAGATAAGTTAATAGACCAAAATTGCACAGCTACTGGTACTAGTCCTTGCATGTTCATCATCTCGTTTATAACTCTTCACTCTTATATAACTTATCAGAAGCCCCAGGGGGCAAGCTAAATTAGCACTACTATTGGGCGAAGAATACTAACCAGGTCTCCTATACCATCCAAACAGCAACCCTCTTTAAGTAGGCAGGATTGTACCTATTTTCTACAGTTTTCAGAAATTAGAAATGAAAAATTGACTGATATAGCCTATAGTAAAATATCTTCAGGAGCAAGAAAAATGTTTTTAGAATAATTAATACATTCTTACAAAAAGTTATTCACCCAGAATAGAAAATAATAAAAACTAAGCAAGGAAAAACAATTAAAATTTATATAATTCTTTCTATACTGTCTGAGAGAGAAAGATAATTCTGATAATTTTTTTCTTTATAATTCAAGCCAGTAAATATTTTGAATATTTACAAAAATCATCCAATATGTAGCAAACTAGCTATGATACTAAAGAAATTCCCCCAAAATCAATATTTTCCATAGGTATGCACCAATGTCCTAGGCCTCACTTAAAACTATATTTAGATATTTTCAAAAGTTCCTGTTAGGATCAAAAGTTTCATCTGTAAATTCACTGTTGAAGGTGATGTGGAAAATAATAATTAACTGGGTGATTGATACAGGTGAGTGTATGACTCACAGTTTGCAAAAGAAAATGATTTTGGGGAAAAGGCTCAGGAAGAAGATTATTGATGAAATGAAGACCTTTCCTTCCTGTCCAAGGACTATCACCGTTCTTAATGATTAAGAGAATAGTGAGCTGTCTGCCAGAGAGCAGAAAAGGTAAGAAATAACACTGTCTCTAAGCGTACCTCACATGAAAGTTTTCAGAAATAACACTCATAAAATTAAACTTTCTATAAAAAATTACTGGAAAACCCAATGGAAATTAGTACAATGAAAATGTCAAAATAAAACAACATTACATTTGTCAGGAACTTGAACAGAATGAAGCAGGAACAGAACGAAGCAGTAGTGTAGGTCAAGTTGTAGAATCACCTAATTTTATTCCATTTGTTTTTTTTTAAAAAAAGGCAGATATAACACTGATTTACCAAGAGACTTAGTGGGGTTTGGTTTTGTTTGTTTTTCTACTCCATGGGTTAGTGCAAAATAAATACTTTGTTTTGCTACTAGGGGTCAGTAAATTAATACAATGTGCTGTGGCTTTTGGTTCTAGAAGTCAAATTCAAGCCACTGAATTCAATTCCACTTTTTTACTAACTGCCCCTCCCTATTATATATATTAATATATATATCATATATAAATATACTTTTTAAAAAATCTCACACTAAGGCATGGGTTTTAATTGTTATCCTTGCATTATGAATCTTGAAAGAAAATGAAGAGAATTTCATTTTGATGAAGTCCTATTCAACAGGAAGTTTTTACCCAATTTAATTTTTTAATTTACATTTTTATGTACATTTTGGAGTCTCTACTAAGTGATAGCATTGAGCTAGATGATTTATACACATAAATTCACTTAAGATTGCTGGGTGTAATTTGTTATGTATATACTGCCTGAGGAGAGGATAAACAATATTTTTATGATGAAGCAAACAATGTCATATCACTGATGGCTTCTGTATGAGCAACAACCAGTCATTCTGGTATACTTTATGCCTGTATCTTAGATTTAGTTCATAAAAACTACCTGATACCACTTGAAGTCTCAGGAAAAAAAAAAATTAAGAGCTGTGTGTGTGCACCCACCTGCACATGTATCCTAGATAAGATATTTAAACCTAGGCAGTTCCGTTCCAGGATTTTTACTGTTAAGCACTAAGCTACATGCTCCCCTGTATGCTGGAAAACGAACAAGATGTGACTTTTAAAATGAAAATAACTGATTTATGAAACAGTACCTTCTAGAATAAAGGATCACATTTCTCAAGTCAGTACACTAGAGAAGTATCAGGATTAAGTTATAAACAGACATTGGAAGAAAATTTATAATACTTTTTTTTGTACTTAATTATCAGCAAGTTTCTAATTTTTTTTCTTTTTGGATATTGTATCACCTACTATTTTTGTCATCTGTTTATAGATTTTAAAGCATTTCACATCTCAATCCTGCCAGCAATGGTATAATTAGGGTAGGTGTCATGATTAATTTTACATGTCAACTTGGCTGGGCAATGGTGCCTAGATATTTGGTTAAATATTATTCTGAATGTTTCTACAAAGTTGTGTTTTGGGTGAGATAAACATTTAAATTGGTGGACTCTGAATGAAGCAGACTACACTCCATATGGATTACCCTCCATAAGAGTAATTGGATGAGGGTAGGCCTCTTTCAATCAATGAAAGACCTTAATAGAACAAAGACTGATCCCAGCTGGAACAAGAAGGAATTCTGACAGCAGACTGCCTGTGGACTCAAATTGCAATTTTTCCCTTGGTCTCCAGCCTGCCAGCCTACCTTGTGGATTTTGGATTTACCAACATTCCACAATCACATGAGCCAATTCCTTAAAATAAATCTTTTTCTCTCTTTCTCTCTCTCTCCATACACAAACACACATATATATACATATATACACACAGACATACAAACATATATATGTATATATATGCAAACACATATGCATCCTGTTGGTTTTGTTTCTCTAGAGAACTCTGGCTAACATAGAAGGGTAGCTGAAATTAAGACTAAGAAAATATGGAACAAGAATTCAGATTCATGTCTTTGTTTCCAGTCAATCCTGAAAAGATTATAAATAAAATCCTCAAGAAGCCATACTGGAATTCAGTTTTCATACTTTAACCACACATCCAGTGTAACATTTCTCCTAGCCTACCTTAAATGTGCTTAGAATACTTACATTAGCCTAGGGTTGGGCAAAATAATCTAACACAGAGCCTATTTTATAATAAAGTGTTAACTCTCTCATGTAATTTACTGAACACTGTACTGAAAGTGAAAAACAAAATGCTTGTATGGGTACCCGAAGTACAGTTTCCAATGAATGATTATTGCTTTTGAACCATCATAAAGTTGAAACATCATTAAGTTAAACCATTGTAAGTCAGGGACTGTCTGTACACTAAAGACCACTGAATTGTATATTTAAAATGATTAATATTACAATAAGTGAACTATATCTCAATAAAAAAGTAAATAAAAAACTAATCGACTTACCTGCCCTTTCTGTGGTGCCAAACAACGAACAACTTCATCCACCATTACTGGAATATGTAATTTAGCCACAGCTTCAGAATCTCTATTCTGAGATCTGTGGAAGTCCTGAGCTCCAGTTTGATCTGGTTGCTGCTGGTCTTCATATTCATTATACTTTTCTGCTGTGGTATGTATTTTTTTTGGCCAGACACCTAAATTAAGTATGCCAGATTCCAACCAGCACAGAAGAAATTCTTTATGTATTCTATAAAAATGTGAGTACCGAAGCATTCTGTAGATCAACAAATCTAGAAAAAAAAAATTTTAACTTAATGATTGTTGGATTTTTTAAAAGAACGTTATATACTTGGAGGAAAGCAAATTAATATGAAACATTTAACACATCAAAAAAATATGTAAGACTCATCATCTGAACATCTTAAATAAGTGAATGTGACCAACCTTCTTATATGAAGCAAGGAACCTAAGAGAACCCAGAAACATTAAATATAATTTAAGTATAATTTTTTAATGTGGTCTGATAAGCTCTAAGACCCAAGGAATATGAAAATTGATTATTCAGTCATCATTTTTCTAAAATATACTTTTTAAAATTTTAATTAAGTCTAAAGAGTGAGCTCAATGAGTTAAAACTGTTTATTTGAAAGCAATCTGGATGACTACAGGGATTATAAGGATCCCATTTACTGCTCGGACAGTCCTTTATTTCAAGCTCTTCCATTTCTCATAATGCTAAATCTCATCTTTGACTTAACTTTATATGAGAGGTTGTCCTAGAAAAATACTATGCATGTACACCCAAAAAGGAAAAGGAGATGATCTGGCTGTAAAAAAATCTTGCATATTTGTCGTGGATATTCTCTGATGAGATTGTCTCACCACAGACTTTATCAGTGAAGTATATTAGTTTAAACCACAACTTTATAAACACTCAACTAAGCACCTTTTGGCATTTCATATCCACCTTTGTTTTAATTGTCTGTGCCTTGCACCCGAGAAATAAAGCAAGTAAATTACTGATACATTCTTTGAATTTCTCATACTTGCTCCTTTTTCTTCTGCAATCTTAAATCTTTAAAATGCAGGGGAAAAAATTTACATAAATGTATTAACAGAAGACCTTTTGAAAACACTATGTTTTTTGTTTTTTTGTTTTTTTTTTTTTGGTGACTGGCCAGCGAAGGGATCCAAACGTTTGACTGTAGTATTACAAAGGAAAAAATTTACATAAATGTATTAACAGAAGACCTTTTGAAAACACTATGTTTTTTGTTTTTTTGGTTTTTTTTTTTTGGTGACTGGCCAGCGAAGGGATCCAAACGTTTGACTGTAGTATTACAAAGCTGTACTCTAACCAACTGAGCCAACCGGACAGCCCTGAAAGCATTATGTTTTTTATCCAATTGGTTTTAAGCAACACTTTTTTGTTTTCTTGGCAGTTGGCTGGTATAGGGATCTGAACGCTTGAACCTGGTGTTACAACACTGCGCTCTAACCAACTGAGTAACTGGCCAGCCCTTCAAGTAACACCTTTGATATTACCACAGTAAATATCAGTTAACTTACTCTTTTTTCCTTATGGACTTAGTTATTTAAGAATAAGGCTCACACCTTTCTATTCACAGAATCAGATGCACACAAGGGGCTTAGTAACTGTTTTCTGAAAAAAATGAATGGATGGATAAATTCCAGACTACACAGAATTAAAATTTTTATCAGTCCTCACTATAGGAAATTCCACCTGTATGACTGACCCCATCAAAACCCACATATTTTTACATCATCATAAAATGTAAATCCCACTTACGGGGTCCTGGGGTATGGAGCCAGGGACTGGACCCCCCCCCTCCCACAACCAGGTACACCACCATCACCACCATCAACTAGGTAAGGAGCAGGCCAAAAACATCACCTCCATGTGGGTGGCTCACCACAGCCACCACAATAACCATGGCTTCCACAAAAATGGCTAGATGCCACAGCCACTGTGCAGATGGTCCACCAGCCACTGGAGTGCATTGACACAAGGAGAGTCAGAGACCAAAGAAAAGAAGAGGATGTCTCTCTCCACAAACCTCATTCCAGAGTGACAGAAGAAGCATCTGCTCTAAGATAATATTGGGGGACTTGAACACACCTCTCATCATTGAACAGATCATCTAGGCAACAAATCAACAGAATAACCATTACTTTTTCAGAAGGAGAGAAGAAATCTAGGGTAATTAGAGGAGTGAAGGGGGAGGGAGAGGAGAATGGGGAGAGATTGGACAAGGGAAATAAAGAAAAGTATGATTTATAACAATATATATGCTAGTAATATTGATTTGATCAACATATGTCAACATTGAACCCCCCAAATATGCATAATCAATCATGAGTCAATAAAAATTTTTTTAAAAAGAAATATAAATCCCACTTAAATATGACTTTCCTTCTTTTTGCAATAGAAAATGAAGAGTAATGTTAAAAAGTTGATCATAAGTAATGACTAAATCAGAAATACAAACATACAAGATTACATAAATATAACATCAACAAGATGTTATCTGGAGAATAATACGTCAACTTTATCAAAGATATAATCCACACAATCACGAGGCAAATGTGTCACAGGAAAAATGAGAGGGGGAAGAAAAAGTAGACTAGAAATGAATGTTACGGTGTTAAGTAAATTTTTGGATTTTCAGCAATGACAAATTAGCCAAATTATTAATTAGGTCTCAGGTTTTCCAAAAACCTTAGGTTTACTTACACAAAGTAAACCTAACTACCCTCTTAGTGTTCCCAACATTTTTCAAAATAATAACTAACATTTACTTAGCATTTACTAAATAACACTTACTATTCTAAGCACAATACCTGTAATTACTCATTTAATCCTTACCACAACTCTGGGAGGTAGGCATTATTGTCCCACTTTACAGATGAGGAAAACAGAGAATTTGCCAAGGGACACATTGCTAGAAGGCCATAAAGCTGGAATTGTAACACAAGCAGTCCACCCCAGAGCCTAAAATCTTATTCCTCATGCCACAAACATAGCCCACTGGAATTATTTAAAGCACTCGTGTAATTTAATGGTATTTTAACTACATTGACTATGCATTGTAGTATCTCTTAAGCTAGATTTTTTTTTTTTTTTTTTTTTTTTTTTCAACATCCTGTGGCTTCGCCCTGCTCCACTTGGAAACAACCACATGCTGTGGAATATCCAATAGAGGGCAAACAATCCATAGGCCTAAATAGTGGAATCTGGAATATTTAAACAACCTACATTATATGTCCAGAGTTCGATAATTTAAAAAAAAAAAAAAAAAAAAAAGGCAGCATCAGCTCCAATATATGAATCAGAACCACACAGGGAAAAGTAGGTAGAAGGGTAGAAAAAACGTTATCAACAGTATTTAATTCTTTTCTGCTACATTCAATTTCTATGCATTTATTCAACTATGTTTAACGTACAAAACATGAAGACGTTATTATGAACTAACTGGCTACTAACGCGTCAACATGGAGAAATGGCCACAAGTAATTCATTTCCCTCTTTGGTTCTTTCCTTGAATATCCCCTTAAAAATGGAAGGGAGTAAGCTTTAAAGGGAGTTCCTCCTCCTCGGCAGTCCAGTCTCCTACCGGACAATAGAGACCCCCTGCAGTCTTTTAAGAGCCAGCCTCTCTGAATGACTTAAGTTCCCTCTGGTAATAGTAAGAAAGCAGAGAGGTGGGAAACCTGGCCTTTAGTGCTGACTCCGTGGTGTCTTGGATTAGTCATTTAACTTTTCCCTACAAGCAGTTTAAACTGCTTAGACCACAAAACTAGCCAGATTACTCTTTCAATTGTGGGAACACGAAAGTGAGCGATCCCTGTGGAAGATGACTTCCTCAAGAGTGCTGACAATTAACTATCATTGCTGTCAGTTTTCCCGTGCAAGGAAATACTGTTTGAAAACTTAACGACAAAAACGCGACCTGGAGGCTGGCACGCGAACGCAGCGAAAGTGAAAGAGGTTCTAAGGAAGGGAAAAAAATACACCCTTTTGCCTAAGAATACTATGACAAGAGAATATTTGGAAACTTCTAAACCCAGGCTGCAGGCGTGTTTAGAGGGAGCGGGAGCAAGGGCGTGGAAGGTACTTCCTTTGCCCCGGGCGAATCCGGCGACCCCTGGGAGCACCCCCGAAGGCGTCGTGGTTTCCAAATGAGCTCCCGGGACTCGTCCATCTTCTCACCTGAGGCACGAAGATTTCTGTTGGAATCTAACTTGGGCCAGCGACGACCACTATGGTGCCAGGGAACCTGAATTTGCTGCACGTCTAGCTCCCATCCCTGGGGGAAATTTGCAAGGACGGACAGATTGGGCCCACGTCCGCCCCAGCAACCAAGGACTGTCTGCCTTTCGTTCCGGGGCTTCCAGCTCCCGCTGCCAAAGGGTCTTGTAGGTGCTGGGGTTTCCAAACGACGTTCCTGTGGGAAATAAATAAGACCTCACCATTGCCTTTTTAAATTCACTTTTTCTTTTTTTTTGTTTAAATGTCTGAGGTAACTTTAAATCTAACTTTCCATTTATTCTTATCTCTACTCTTCTCGGTTTACAATAAACGTATATTAAGTTTATGTTCTAAGAACACAGCAGTTTTATACTCCAAGTTAAATTCACTTTTTCTTTTTTTTTGTTTAAATGTCTGAGGTAACTTTAAATCTAACTTTCCATTTATTCTTATCTCTACTCTTTTCGGTTTACAATAAACGTATATTAAGTTTATGTTCTAAGAACACAGCAGTTTTATACTCCAAATTCTAACAAAAGGTGGGAATTTCTGTTTCCTAAGCTCTAAATGCTTAGAAATTTTTTATTCTTTTTCTTTCACTTCGTTACAAAATATGCCATTCTCTTACCTTTTTTGTTACACTTTCTTAATGACTTGCCAAACTAGAGTAGACAGCTGGCACAGTAGTGGCATTCATTGTAGTATCAAAATCTCTCTGATTTAATCAAATGTACAATTTCTTAAGAATACGGACCTCATCATCTGAACACTGCTAAATGGCTAGTGTAACACTGATTTTGAAATTAAATGTAAAGTAAGAACTTGGCTTAGGTGTGGAAACACCTGTGAGACTGGTAAGCCTTATACAATTGTCAAAAAAGACAAAATTTAAAACACTTCTATTTACTTATTTACCAATAATCAATGCATTTTCCTAAGAAATTGGCAAGATATGCATATTTTAGATTAGATTCAGATAACTTAATGCCATTTCACCTAGACAAATGACTCAACTCTGAATAGGCTTGTTTGTTCAGTTCAAAACAAATGTTTTCCTTTAGGGATTTTCTGAATTTCTCTCAGTGAAATGAAGATAACAGTACATATATCTCATGGGCTAATTTGAGAATGAAATGAGATAACATACATAAAGTAATTATCAAAATGCCTGGGACATCAAAGGCCAAGTACTACACAGTGAGTGCATATTTGAAATTAAAAAAAAGGATTCTCAATTTTATTACCAAACCCAGCACCAAACAAATAACTATGTAATTATATAAGATACATGTAATACCAGAAAGTAGTAGTTTTACTTATGTAAAACTCCTCCAGCGTTCAGAAATAATCATATACAATACACAATTATCCCAATTTTCTTCAATAGGAAATAAATGTCCACAATATAGAGGTTTTCCACACATTCTTTCCTTTACAACACTCTGCTTGGTGTTGTGTCATCTTATTTACACAGTGATATTGAATCACCAAAATGCAAGCTCCAAGAGGGCAAGGATTTTGACTATTATGTATTATTGTGTCCCTAAAATCTACAATCAATAATTGCTGAATAAATTGATACAATTATAGTAATATAAATAACAACAATAAAAATCATATAATACTATTAAATGTATCCTGTCAAATAAAGATGAGTTAGTTTAGAAAACATATTTCCCTTTTTTCCAGGTATTTTTCTCTTTTCAAAGTGTACATTCTGAAATAGCACCTACAACCTGAGACATAAAAAAACTTCATCCAATAACCAACTAGGCCAATACCTTTAAATGAATTTATTTCATAATGTCATCATTAGAACGTAAAAAGCAGCACAACACCAAATAGTTTCACAGTCAACACTAATGGGAGTAGGCCTGGGGGTCCTGGGGCCACAAACTAAAAGAGCTGAGCTTCCAATAAATTCAGATGAAGAGACCCCACAGTTCAACTCAAGTGAATGTGGCTGAAAGAGGTCCCTAAACCTTGGAGGCCTCACTACCAAGTTAGAGAAAAGAAAATAAACATCTAGAAGCCATTAAACTACATCCAACAGGCTCCACCTCTCCCCATAGTAGAGACCGCATTCCAACCCTGCCCGTACCCATCTCACTCACACCCCGAACCCTGGGACCAAGCCCTGCGCCCGCGGATGCAGGCGCCTGCCTCCCACCTGCAGCTCCAACCTAGTCCCGCCCACCTCGGCCAACGCCTCCGGAAACGGCCGCACGCGTTGCCACGGCAACACGCAAACAAGGCCACGCACTGAGGCGTGCGGCTGAGCTTCTTGGCGCCAACCTGCAGCGCGCCGCGGCAACGTCCTGCGTGATGACGTCACAATAACGGCAGCCAATGAAACGAGGCGCTGAGGAAACAGGCTTGGGTTTGAATATCGTTGTTGAGTTTGAAGCGCCGAGAGGCGGACATTGAAGGGAAGTGGTCGCAATCTCTCCTGGGCCTGAGGTAAGTGAGAGGCACGCGAGGAGAAAACTGGTCTCTGCGACGCTGCTTTTGATGGACCTGTCTCATTGGGAGCGGAGGGTCCCACCGCCTCAGACCTAGAGACCAGGTGGGCTTGTTGAAAAAACAGAAGCAGGAGTGGGGGGAGGTGGGGGCGCGGGGGGTGGTGGCCAGGGTCGCTGGGGAGAAAGTGAAAGGAAGAAGGGACTCGAGATCCCGCTGAGAGCATGGCTCTGCCTCATGGTGACCTTCGACTGCTCGGCAGGAATGTCAGGGATCTCCTCCTTAAGTTCTGAGAGGAAGGCGGAAGTTTTAAAGGTATCTTGGCTCTTTTCCCAGACTTTGGCAGAGGGCTTTAACTGGCCAGCACCTCGCAGTGCGAAGGTCCTTTGGGCTCCAAATTGAGAGTGTTTTTTTTCAGACGCAGATGCAAGTATAAGTCTGGGCTTCGCTATCAGATGGGGAGCTTTCGTTCATCACCACATACACTTTTTATTCACCGTGGTTTTGCTATTAGCCTTGCACTGATCAGTCCGGAACCCGCCGTAAGCCCCAGTTGTAATCAAGTCAAGACCTGTCCCTACTGCCTAACGGGATTGCTGAGGATCAGATGAGGTATGGAAGAAATACTGCTTGGCAGAGTGCTCTGCAAATGAAAGGGACTGGAAACACCGAAAATCAGTCTTTTTTACAGTCTGTACTTAGTTTCTGCAAGACTTCCTTTTAGGAGCTCTTCAGCCCCTCAGTTACAGACAGACCAAGGCTGACTGCTGTTCACTATATGAGAAGAGATGATGTGACTAGAACTGACTAATTTTTTGTATAATATGTAGTTTGGGATATTAACTATGGAATAATTGGGTAGAATGTGTTAGGCACTCTACAGGCTTTTCTTGTTAGTGTCATTCCACCACATCCAGACCCTAACCTTGGGTTTTGGGAGGTTTTTATGAACTTTGGTGTTAGAGAATATGAGGTCCAAAGACTAGATAGTGCTTGTTATTTAGTTTATATGAGTATTTTGTAAGAACTGTGTATTTCAGTAAACAAAGATTATCTGCCTTTAACAGTAGTAATTAACCTTCTCTTATGCTATTGAACAAGTATTTACAAATAAACAAAATTTTCATTTTAAAAGTGCATCTTGTCCCACTATAGCCCTGAATCAGTTAAGGTACACAATAAAATGACTTTTATGCTATAACTCCATGGAAACTAGGAGGAAAAAACTTGCCCAGATGTCAGTGCCACCCTTCCCTCCATTTGACCTTTTCATTCTTCCCTGATGCTTGTAAGTTAGTGGAAGCAGTGGCTCTAACACAAAGGTTATTCCAAAGAGAAGTTTAAGTTAGAAAACTATAAGTAGTGTTGAGGGTAGTTCCCAGTCCTAAAAAATATTTGTTGAATCTGAATCTAGTTCAAATTTGAAGAACACTAAGAAAGCCAGTGTGGCTGAAGCAGAATAACCAAGGGGGTGGACAACATTAGAAAGGGATGCCAGAGAGATAAACAGGAACCAGATGTAGGATTTTTAGGCCATGGCAAGTAGTGTAAGGAGTTTGTATTTTATCTTTATCATAGGAAGTCATTGGAGAGTTTAAAGGAGGGGAATAATGCGAGACACAGAACACAATCTGATTGCTTTTGAGGAAAGTATCAGTACATACAATCAATATTATCATTATACTTACATGTAATTTTGGGTGAATCTTTAACTCAATTGGCTTGTATTTTATCTAGCGTAAGCAGTAGGCATATACAAGTTACAATTTAAGAATTTGCCTCTTTATTTTGGTTTATATTACCTTGAAACTATTGAAGAGAATTAGGTTTTAACACCTCTTCATTAAACATTGGAGAAGAATGAGCTGTTCTATATAAATGAATCTCCCAGAAAATTGAATATGAGCCCTGTTAAGTAATAAAGTATTTTAACCACATTCAGTGATGGAAATAAAGCATGATCCTCCCATTTCTCTAATTTTGTAAACAAGAAATTGGGCACATTATTTAACTTTTCTCTATTCATGAGGGTCTTCATTGTGATTGCCTTTTATTGTCAGTCATTGTACTCTACTGTAATATGTTGTTTCTCATAGAGAAATATATTTTCTGTTTGCCTCTCCTCTATTTGGGTAAATTGCTTTTTGGATTCTCTGTGTACTTCTTATAATTTATTAATTCATTTATTAATCATATATTTGAGAATGTACTATATACCAGACACTATAAGAGACTAGGGATATAAAGTAAAAATAGACAGTCCCATCAGCTGTCATTTCTTCTCATTCTCTTGTACCCTCTTCTAATCATGCATAATAATCATGAAATTTTGGAGCTTGAAAAAGGCTTCGGATATGATATAGTCCAACCCTTTTGTTTCTTATATTAGCAACTGAAGCTCCTTCATCACTCTTTTTTACACTACTTTCTCTAAACTAGACAAATACCCTTCTATTATAATGAGCAATGGTATTGGAAGTATTTATCCTTCATGTTTTATTTCCGCCAATGAAATCCTACCAGTTTGCTCTTTTGATTCTATTCAACAAATACCACTTAGGAGTAGATGTAATAAAATTGATCAGAGGCTGTAATACTGTCTTCTGAACAGTTATCTGA